ACTTTAAGTTATTTCTATGCAGTTCTGTTCCTGCTATTTGTAGTCTAGCATCCGTATGACCTTTAAATGCTCTGTTATGAGGATGATTCTTGATGTGCTGTTTGCATATCCTTGATGTCTTTAGAGTCCTGTTCAAATTTAGTCAGTAATTTGTCATAAACACCTGACATATTGTCGTCTTATTTTGTATCTGGAAACAACTGCAGTTGTTTTTTTTTTTCCAAAATTGTAGAAAGATATTTTGTTTAACTTTGTACCATGTAGAAGTTATGTCAGCTTCTGTTAAGTTGGATTTATTGAAACATATAGTTTGACCAAGGGCTCCTCAACTTTTGTATGCAGCTGTACAGCTCAAAACACAAAAAGCAACAGCAATTCTTTCACCACCAAATCAACTTCTTAACCAAACCTTTGATCCTAAAATAACTGTATTCTGGCCCTGAAAAATAAAATATGAATAATATGATTCTTAAAAGATAATAAAAGTACTAAGAAGTTCCCCTTGAGAATTAAATTCTAAAATTGGAGGACAGTAAAACTAAGTATCTTTTCCCTGCTTTGATGCTTACCTAATTTCCGCAAGAATGATAACTTGAGAAAGGATATGGATGAAAATCCCAGCTGCTGGCTAGATTCAGAGAGTAACATGTGATCCTTCAAATATGTATTAGAGTTTTAAAGAATAAAAATAGCACTTTGAATTGTATGCCCAGGAAAAACTTAGTTCTCTAAGAAGTAATTTGCAAAGTAATATTCTTCTAGTAGCCTTTCTGCAGTACTCTGAACCAGCTAACATTTTCAAACAGTACATAAATAATCGAACTTGATTCAGTAGTCTTATTAGTTTAATCTTTATTATGGTCATATTCCAAGTGGTCTCACACATCTAAAGAAAAACTGCATAATTTGTCATAACACTCAGATCTATTTCTACTGCTGCGTTTCTGCATAGGAAATTAATTTCTAATGTCCATGCATTATAGAAGATACAGAGGAAAATACAATCTATTAAACAGGCCTTAAAAAGTTAATAACAAACAAAAACATTTATTTTATTAACAAGAAAAGCAAATTATTCTGGTAAATAAAGTCTTTGTCTAAATCCTTATGTTTCAATTGTTACCATTAAACTAATCCTATATTACTGTTATTACTCCATCTTTACTTCTCTGATTTGAGAGTGTCTCATTTTATGCACCTGCTACTTTTCTCAGGAGGTTTTCTTTATGGAATTAGACAGTCTTTAAGAGTCACTGAAACAAGCTCCAAAAATACAGTTGAAGACTAGATGCCAATTTAAAATAACTATACACTTCTCCTTTAAGACCCTGTAATTTGAATATGGTTTAAATCCCTTAAGAAAGATTCAGGTGGAACAATGATTCATATGTTTGATGCCAAACCTATACATTTAATCAGCATGTTGGAATCATGGTATAGGGATGGTCCCACTTTGAACAGACCAGTGGAAATACTTGAACCAGGTTTATTTTGATTTTTGGTTACCATTTGGAAGCATATACCTCAGCTTACTGTGATTAATCATAGCTTGGAATGACCTTATATTTGCTATGTTGCTTTTTTAACATACTTTCAACTATTCTATTCCCTCCCCCAATGATTCTGATTAGGAGTCCTTATATTTTTCCTTTACATTCTTTCTCTAACACTTAGAAATGAATGCTGCTGCCATTTGCTTTTCAAGACAAAGAAGTTTGATAATCAATATTATAACTGCACACATTTTGAAAATTGTACTCTTTGGACTAAGAAAGTTGTTGCATTTCCAACCAATTTGAATTATGAAGCCAGCATAAGCAAAAATTAATGAACAATCTTGTACATGGTTTATTTTTTAAGTTTGTATTGTTTTGCATCTAGAAGGGAAAAGGGTAGGTAATCAACTATAAAAGAAACTGTTTCTCTTGGAATTCTTATTCTATTCACAGTATAGTATGTAAGCATATCAGCTAAATTCGTTAGCTTTTAAAGTTGGCTATTATTTAAACCTAAAATTATATATAACAACATACAACTACTACGTCTTTAGAAATTGTAAATTTTCATCACCCTACATATACTAACAAAAACAGAAAATAAAGCTGATTTAGAGAATTAGAGAGACACTGTGTAGAATACCATAATCTAGATATTTCGTTAAAATGGGTCTGAGTTCTGATTTAAAAAAAGGCCACAGAGAAGACTGATCATGTTCTTCCATGATTATCAAGGGCAGAGAGAAACGTTATAAAGAGAAATCTATGACTTGACAGGATACTGTTTATGCAAAGCCAAGGAAAGAATGGGATTTTAAATACAGTATTTGCAGCTGTACCATGGATAAGGAGGAAAGATAAGAACTTTTGTTTTGGATATACTTAATTTGAAATGGCAGTGTCTAAGATTAAATGTAGAGCCAGCAGTAAGCATCATATAAATTGTTCTGAAAGATAGGATATTTTATGAGGCCAGCCAAGAAAAGTGCATGAAGTTACAATTGAAAAGGGTTGACAATGAAACTTAATGAAATCATTTCTAAGAAGAAAGCAAAAAATATTCCTTCTTTCTAGCAATATTGAACGTTCAGTTAATCAGGTAGAGAAAATTGGGTGAGACAAAAGTAGATCGAAGCAACGAAGGCCCCAGAGAGGCTAGGGAAAGTTAGTGGGTGGACAAGGTTTGCAGCTGTGCAAGCATTTGAAACGGAAAGGCCAGCACTGCTCCTGTAGCCCTTAAGACAGAGGTGTTGGGCAAAAGATGAGTGCAGCAGAACTGGCACTGTCAGACAGGGGCCCCAAGATTGCATAAGGGCAACCAATTGTGGGGCTTGGGGAAGAAACAGTATGGGAAGATAGTTGCTTTCTGGGTGCAGGAGCAGTAGTTTCAGATAAGAGAGAGAGAAAAAGAGGCAGTCAGCAAGCTGGGATAAAATACTGAGTGGAAGGGCAAGTAAGTGCCATGAAGCTAGAACGAACCAACCGAAAGATGACTAATATTAAATCAGAACCGGATAGACTGGGAGATAAGATTCTCCAGAAACAAAATTGTGAGACTAAAGACTATATTTTAGTTTCTACTGTATCACTATGTATCAACAGTCCCAAGGCTTGCTATCTTGTAAAGTCAAAATAAACTAAAACATAAGATACAAAAGAGTCCTCTCTCCTGTAATCCTAATCCCTTTAATTCTGTAATTTTGCAAGATGAAAGAAAGCAATACATAGTTCCAACAAGAGAAACCACCTTCAGTGTTAGCCCAGTACTAATTGTAGATGCTTCTCTCTAAAAATCACTTCTTTCTGGGTTCTACAAAATAAAACTTCACTGTGGTTCTGAGGGATTTAGGGACAGGGTGTTGTGCACATAGGTAATTAGTATGCATTAATTTGCATATGATTGCTCAATCAGTCCTTTTATTACACATTAAACTTGGTTTAGATATATTCCAAAAATAAATCTAACTGAACTACTTCACCAGCAGATGGCAGATACTGATTTTTGTAATGAAAACTAATTAAATAATTCAGGATCTTATATACTAAGGGCAGCAGTGTTCTGCATTTAAAGCTTTTTGTAATTCATGCATTTTAAAAAACATAACAAAATCTCTTGCTAATGATAATTGCTTTTGAGGGCTCTGAACATCTTAGTTCATTTGTCAAACTGATTTTTTGGATAGAATCTGTAGATTACAATAACTTGTCGGTTAGCTAACCGAGGTATCAGGACCTCCCCATCTTCCCCAGGATAGCCACCAATATTGTTGTTTTTGTTCTATTATTTTCTTCCTCCCTGAAGGGGCCCATGGTGTATTTAATTGTATAATTGTTTGGTAAATAAATGTTAAGGCAGGATATAGAGATATAATTTAACATTGTATTACATTCTTATGTTTGTTATATTAAGAGTCTTGTTCGGTCAGATCACGCACTCATACTGTATAGCATTCTGTTTCCAATAGCAGATACTCAGATTCTTGTAGAGATCTACAGATGGATATAAAAGCATTCAGCTCAGGGTGTGCACAAAATGGGAAAATTGCTTTTTTTTTTTTTTTTAACCTAGAATAAAATCACTCCCTACTGGAGGTTCTGTCAAACTACTTTGGGCCAGCCATGGTTTGGCAGAACCAAATTCCAGAACACTAGAATTTAGGTTTGGGATGAAACAGAATCTGGGCAAGATGAAGAACGCGGGTTAGTGTATAATACTCCCTTTCTCTGTTCAGCAGCTATCAGTGTGTCATCTCCCACTGGCCCATCTTTGTTCCCACAGTTTCCCTCTACTTTCCCTCCTTCCCTTCAGCCACCTATCTTCTTGCATTTCTCCCTATTCCTTCTGCCCGAAACTACTTCTGGGACAGAAACAGTTCTGTTTTGTTCCATGCATGGACAAAGTACCCAAATTGTACATGTTTCACTTTGGACATGGACCACTTAAAACCAGTTGTACCTTCACAAAATAGTTGATAAGCATAATGTTTTGCACATCCCCTATATTCAGTCTCCTCTGTTGCTTCTATCAAGTATTAAAGCAGATATACTACCTGTGAGCTTGGAAAGTCTGGCTTTCATATCTAATAGCTATCCTCAGCACTATGAACAGTTGGGATTTAACTAATGGTCAGTTGTTAATATTGGTGGTAAACTCTGGAACAAAATTGCATGGAAAATTAAGAATAATATGTGGGAAATTGTTGAAAATGGCTATCCAGTTCTGAATGCTTCAGTGGAATCTTAGATATATTGAAACATTTGCCTTCATTTATAGTTATCCAGTCCCAATGTTTGGGGTATATTAATCTGATCTAATTGATTTTTCAGTCCCCTATCTTCAACAGAATATATTTCTCTCAGCATCATTTCATATTTTACATTCTGTGCCGGTATAACAAAGCTAGGAATATAAATTCCTATATATAAATACATAAAATATATGGAATATTGAAAGGGGGGGATTATAAGAGGATACAGTGCATTGTTTTGCCTTTATTTTTATAGGTCTCATTAGGTGGTGTTGATCTGACAGTGCGGGTTCTCACAACGGGTTACTGGCCCACTCAGTCGGCCACACCAAAGTGCAACATTCCCCCAGCCCCCAGGCATGCTTTTGAAATATTTAGGAGGTAAGAAATTGTTAAGATTTTTTTCTTGCTTGCTGGTGGAATTTGTGCATTTGTTTTAAAACATAGTTAATGGCCAAATCCTTGTGTGTATTTATGTTCTAAATTATTCTGCATCCACACTAAGTGTTCTGAAAGTTCCTCTTGCAACAATATTTGGGAATCTCAAGATTTTTTTAAAAAAAACATGTAGACAGTGGAGACTTAGAAGCATTCTTTGGATTCTTATCGGTTCTTATTTATTTATTAGATTTGTGTAGCTACCCATCTTTCATATGTGACTCTGGGTGGTTCACAATTATAGGATCATAATTAATATGAAACATTTAAGATAACATTAACTTTTGAACTATGGTTTTGGAAGGAATTTTGCTTATATCTGCTTTTTGAAATAACTGATGTTTGCCAATAAATTAAACAATTTTTATATGGACTTTAAAAAGCCTTTTTTGTGGGAAATCTACAGTAATAGTTAGGCAAATGTATGTTGATATTCTTGAATTTTGTAGATTTTATTTAGCCAAACATAGTGGACGGCAGCTAACACTCCAACATCACATGGGTTCTGCAGATCTTAATGCCACCTTCTATGGTCCTGTAAAGAAAGTAAGTGCCCTTGCCTATAAATAATGTGGTCTGATTCACATTTTAATGAAAATGTACTGCATTTGCACTTTCCAAAAAATGTTTAATATGGCATTCAGTTGTCTTTCAGAATAACCACCTTCCAAATGTTACATATGCTTTAAGCAAAAAATGCATACAGAAGTGTATTAAGAAATAATGGACATAAAAATGAATATAGTCATTAAAATATTAAAAATGCGTATATGAAAGAAATATACAGTCAGGTCCAGAAATATTGGGACATCGACACAATTCTAACATGTTTGGCTCT